TTTAATGTAGGTATATCTAATAGTCAAATTAATAGGTTGTGAAAAATATTTGTTATATACCTTGTTGTTAATTTACTCAAACAGATAACTCTGCCATTTACATAACAATTGCAAATAACTCAAAAAACATTTTGTAAACTATATACCGAAATAATACTCAATAAGACATATTAAAAAAAAAAAATTTAAATGATGATTTTATGTATCCCTTGTTACATGTTGATTTTAGTTTAAAAATAATTAAATAGTTATGGCATTTAAAACACATTCTTAGTATAAAGAATGTAACCTTTAATAAGGCATTGCTTTGTTTTGAATAAAACTTTTGATCTCATTCAATTCGTTACAGTTTTCTGTGTTGTTTTACCTTGTTTTTAAAAATCCTGATGATTTTATGGGTCCGAAACATATAGTATGATATACCGGAAGTTTGTTCTATTTAATTCCATGTTTTATTAGGATGTGTGAACACACTGGGGGTCGACTTACGTTTAGTTAGTCATGAATTGTAGAAGGTTGTTAAGGTGGTTGTCAAACTGTGACTCGTCAGATCCTCCTTCGCGGCGCCATATTGTCTTCTTTGAAGTAGCTTAAAAGTTGTCGTAGCCATGAGGTGCAGACAGTTTTTGGTGAACTTTTGGGGTGAAGAGCGTGGATTCTGTAAGAATGAGGTGAGTTTGAGGGGCTTTGAGGGCCGAAGAGCACGCTTAATTTTAAAACGTAAGAAAGGAAATCCTCCCGGATCGTTGCCGAGTCATTTCGGGATCAGCAAATGGCGTCTGCTGCATCGAGCCGGGGTTAGTACCCGCATCCAATGTTTTGGGATCCCGAAGTGGTCTCTTGAAGACGTCCTGCTGCCTAGTGCCAGTTCAAGACGTATACTTCTATCATCCGGAGTCGCCATAATCCTTTAAGAATTACTTTCCCAGGTGTGCCTTTGTGTGTGCATTTGTAGTTGCCGATCGCTCACCGTTCAAACTGACGTTGTTCCAGATGTGCCTTGGCGATACCCAGCTATTCTTAATTTATGAGTGTTTTGAGGTTTTCTGACTCTAGATGTTTTTTTTGGTCCTGCAGATTGTAAAAGTCGTGAGAGTCCAGTTTCCGAGGAGATTGTAGCCAACATCAGTGGCAAAGAGTGCCACCGTTTGATGGATTTCTACCAGAAATCAGGTATCTGAAAATCTGCAAACCAATGTATGAAAGACCTTCAGTGGTACTAGTAATTTAAGAATGTTCCGATTTATCATTTAACTTTTATTTATAAGAATAATTCCGTAACTGTTGTAGTTGTGATTAAGCTTAACCTGTTGTATGCCTTCGTGATTACTGAGTACCATTAATGCTTTCTTTTACTCTAATTTCGTATTCAGAGAATTTCTCTTTAATTTAAGTATTTTACCTGTTATTTTGTGTAGTATCGGTAGTAAAAAAAAACTTATTGAGATTCTATTGTCGCGCGAAAGCCTACCCTGTCTGTTGTTTACTCCCGAGTATGGAGTCTAGTGACGTTCTAGAAACGGCTAGAACGGGCGAAGAGTGCCGTTGAGTCAGAGATGGAATTTACGGGAATGCAATGAAGGTGTTGGTCAAGGAACTCTGAATGGAAAGAGGTTGGCCACATCTATTAAAGAAGTTACAGTTCTAAAAACGTCGGTTGTCAGCGATGAGTGGGTCCCTGTTAAACTTAGGGAAGAACAAGAGAACTATCCTATTTTAAACAAGATAAGAGAATGGAAAGAGAAAAATCGTCGACCTACTTGGCAAGAAGTATCGAAACTCTCTCCAGTAATGAAAATCATATTGGTCTCAATGGGACTCCTTTATCCTAGAAGACGGCTTATTAAATCGAGTACTTGAAAATGATGATGGTTCCGAGAACAGAAGACAGTTGGTCATTCCAAGGAGTAGAGTATCCGAAGGACTTCTTCAGTTACACGACAGTGCATCAGGAGGACATCTCGGTATTAGAAAAACCCTTCAGAGAGTTCGTGAAAGGTTTCATTGGATAAATAGTTCCGATGATGTAAAGGACTGGTGTAAGAAATGTACCAGCTGTGCTATGAGTAATGGACCTCAGTGGAAAAGGAAGGCTCCCATGAAGCAATACAACGTTGGTAACCCTTTTGAGAGGATCGCCTTAGATATTGGTGGACCATTTTCCACGACCGAGAATGGTAATAAATACATGATGATAGTTATGGATTATTTCACGAAGTGGGTGGAAGTTTACGCTATTCCAAATCAAGATGCCGCAACTGTTGCAGATGTGTTGATAAAAAAGTTTATTTGTCGATTTGGAGTGCCCTTGGAGATCCACAGTGACCAAGGCAGAACTTTTAAAAGCCAACTTTTCCGTGGAATCTGTGACAGACTAAGCGTGAAGAAAACTAGAACCATAGCATTGCACCCACAATCCGATGGAATGGTAGAGCGAATAAATAAGACCATTGGAAAATATCTGTCAAAAGTGGTTTTAAACCAGCAATGACTTATAGATCCGCTGTCAATGAATCAACTGGCCAAACACCAGCAAAGGTCCTGTTTGGGCATGAGTTGAGACTGCCGTGCGACCTCGAGTTTGGATGCCGACCTGAAGAAGATGTAGCTGGTGAAGATTATGTGATCCAGATACGAAGAAGAATGGACAATATGCATGAATTGGTCCGCTCGCATCTTCAAATCGCTAGTGACAGAATGAAGAAGCGATACGATACCCAAGCCACAGAAGGATGTTTCAAGGAAGGCGACAAAGTCTGGCTCCATAACCCAAAAAGACAAGAGGGTTATTCTCCAAAGCTTCAAAGGTCTTGGGAAGGCCCGTACCTCATCAAGAAAAAAAAATCAATGATGTCATTTACCGTATAAGTAAGATCCCGAACGGTAAACCAAAGGTAGTGCACCAAAACCGGCTGGCTTCATTTGAGGGTGACCATGAAGAGGAAGAAGAAGTAAACCAACTCCAAGAAACACCTGACCTCATCTTTGAAGAATTTATGGGTGCATATGAAGATACCGGAAAAGCAAGATATGGTGTTACGACCGAGCAACAACAAGAACTGCTCACGGTTCCTAAAGATTACTCGCAGTATTCCGGAAGAAGTTTGGTCGATTGCCAGAACTTCAAGATCAGTTACCAGCCCCTGGAAGAGCATTAAATCTTCAAGATGGATCGCTTTATCTTTTCTATTTGGTAACAAAGAATAACTTTAAATAGTTAGTTTATTTTGTAATGTTATTGATGTTTTCTTAAGTACTTTGTTTTGTTAAATTATTTTGTATATATATATTGGATACCGAATTGTAAATAGTCACATTTGAAAAAGAAGTTGTACTTCGAAACATATGTCATGTTAGTGTTTGTTTAAAAAAAAAAATTTTTATTTTTAAAATAAAAGTGTGAAAATCTACCAAATTTGGTTTTACTCTTTCAAAACAAAGAATACCTTCCGAGATCGATCCACCTATCAGGATGTATGGGAAGCATTATTCAGTCTGAGGGAGCATGTACTGGAGTCCAATGTACAAAAACTAGCCATACCGAAGATAGAAGAATCAGCTGAATTGGAGGATCATTAGAAACATGGTGGAAGTAATCTTTTAAGATACCGGAGTCCAAATACTGGTTTGCAGCCATTCGCCCAGTGTCCAGGTTATAGCAAAGAGAGTCCTTTCTTACTTCCACGCAACTGGAAATTGTAAAAGAGAATCCAGTTGCAGATACAATCATTCAGTTTTAGTTCCAGGAGGAAGTATTTCTTAAGTAGGGGGCAATGTCGCTCGAAAGCCTACCCTGTCTGTTGTTTACTTCCGTGGTATGGAGTTTAGTGACGGCTAGAATGGGCGGACAGTGCCGTTAAGTCAAAGATGGAATTTTCGGGAGCTTCTAGAGATTTTTCGTAGCAGAGTTGGACTCGGTATAAATAGCCCGGCTCACTGGCGCACAGTTTAGTTTAGAGTATTGGAATGAAAAGTTAAATTGTAATAAATAAATTAGAATTGTGAGTTAGTGCCTAAGTATTATATACATTAATTAGTAGGTACGTCATAAATAAATTGTAAATAGTGTGTTTTAAATAAATAAACTTTAAATAAATTAGGCTATCGTCACACTATTGTTGGGAGTCTCTATTATATATAGGTTAGTTTTAAAAGTGCTCTAGGTGAATGTGTACTTACCCTTCTGTCAATTCAACAGTGGAATTTATAATCACGGATTTTCGAAAATAGTAAATGCCATAATACTAACTATTTAATTAAATTTTAACGAAATCAAGTGAACTAATTGCTTAATGTCCCACACCTTTTGTCTCGACAGCTAGCCGAAGTGATCTTATCTAGACTCTAGGAGAACACTATAACCTTTTTTTTGTAACGGTATTCTGTTCCAAAGCATACTACCAGATTTTGGAGCTTACCAGCGGATACCGCGTGTTGAGTTAATCAAAAATCCCTTTACAAATAATAATAGGCATCTGAAATTTCCTGATCTGACAGATACATTACTCCGTGTCAATTGCGATTCTACTATAATTGTTTTAAAAGCTGGCTCTCTGGATTTTACACCCAGAATTTATGTGCATAAAGTTAATTAAATCTAGAATACTGTGATTTTAACATTAGTTGACAAATTACATTATTAACCAAAACTGATAGCAATGTGTTTTTAAAAGTTCTACAAGATAAATTACTTCTCTAAGATGCTTCTCAGACTTTTGTTTTATTCATTTAGGACCTTTCTGACTTCTTAATCTCAAGTGATTCATATCGTTGCACTCGAATTGAAGAATAGATTCCAATAATGATAAAACATACACGTTGATGTAATTAAAAAAATCCCAGTTAGTAATAATATCAAAAAAACAGTAATAAATCAGGCATCATTGGAGATGGTTTATCCCAAATTTAGTATAATTTGGACTACCCATTTCCGAGATAATTAGGCTTTTCCAGTCTTTTATTCGACTCCGTGTATATTTATAAAGTAAATTAAAACTTACCATAAATGCCAGTATCCGGTTGTTGTTTATAATAAAATGGAAACAGAAATTTTCCTTTCCTTGGACTGTCAATTTCGTTAAATGATTTACTTAAAATAAAACCATTTATAGGTGTTACCACTAATAGTAATAAAAGTAACCATAAATCGTCCACCATCGTTTGAATTTAATCTGAAAATATTTAAATATTTAAAAATATGTTTGATTTTCAGTCAAATTTGATAAACTGAGATGAATTGTTCTTAGTATTTTGTTTTTAACCAAAGGAAGCAATAAAATTATAAGATCCTTTATAAAAAAATATTTACTTTTACTGATTTCCGTATCTATCATTATTTTGGAATATTTTTAGATAGATAGCTTTGTTTTTAATTAAATATGTTTATTTTCTTTTTTTTTAATGGCATTTTGAATTTCTATTATTTATAATTGGGATATAAAGATTAATTGGATGATTTTAATTAGTTTAAATTGGAATACAAATTGACTAAGTGAGCCAATTCATATATAGTGTGATATTTTAAATGCCGTCAATATTTATTGAAAGGGGAGATCTATCTAACATATCCTCAACTGTCATAGCTAATTCTCCTCTTCTCCCTTACTAACAGTGTTACCGTTTCCGTACAATTGTACTGAAACTATGTACGAAACGATTAAATTCAGTACTTCAGTATAACTTTTTAAAAAACCACAAAATTTAGTACAAAATACGATAATCAATAAGAAAGTAAAATTTGCAGCGTTTGGATACAAATCTATATTATAAATTTGTTTTATTATTTATGTTGGTCTATTAATTATTAATTAAAACTAAGTCAGATTTTTTAAACTGTAAAGTGTAAATTATTAAATAGTGTGTGTACTGCCATCTATCAGTAAGAAACCAAATAGCTTGGCTTAATAATACAGGGAAATTAGGGGAATCACTGAAATAAATTTTGTGGTAGGTTTGGGGTTCCGTACTCTAACTCCTTTGCCGTCGTTTCTGCTGTCTTCTGTTGCGCGTTCCGAAATGGTACCTTTAGTGTAATACTGCCCCATTTGACCGGAAATAATTTATACTCTTATTACCAGAAGGTGGGAATGATTATTACCGGTAGGTAAGTAGTTATGATTAGCCAGTTCTGGACCAAGGTCAGAGGCAATTGATGTAATTAGTAATTACCATTAGTACCCATTCCCACCCTTCGCACAATTAGCAAGTACCCCCCAATTACGCTGTACACCATATAGTGAGTGTAATGGCATAATAAGTACTTTTCAATTACCCTATACACCATGTGTAATGATTATCGTAAGTACCTCTCATTACTCCATACACATTGAAATGTAATGAGTGTAGGTATCTTGTATATATAGTAATTGCTATGCATGTCATGAAGTGTAATGAGTTTAATCTAAGTACCTCTCGGTTATTACTATTGTAGCGTATAGAGCGTTTTGTACCCTAAGCACATTCTAAATAATATAATTATTTTTCCTAAATGGGAGATGAATTTCGCACATTCTTGACTCTCAACTACCATGATTAGAGTGAAAAAACGGTCGGGCGCAAGATACACGGCATAAATATCGAGGCAGAAGCTTAGAAAAAGTGGGGGATTTAGTTAGCAAGTACTTCCCAATTACTCTATACCCACTGTACTGTAATGAGTGTAATTGCATAGTAAGTACCGTAATTGAAAAATACTTACTATGTATTTACACTCACTACATGGTGTATAGAGTAATTGGGAGGTACTTACTAATTGCGCGAAGAGTGGGGGGTGGGTACTTAGGGTAATTACTAATTATAATAATTGCCTCTGACCTTGGTCCAGAACTGGCTAATTATAACTACTTAGGTATATGGACATATCTCATTTTGACCATTTGTTGACTTATACTTTTTTCCCAAGCATCCTAGAATTTTCATAGGAAAATTATCTTTTTCCCATTGGAAAAAAAGTCGAGAATAATAAGTGAGACCCTGGAGTTTATAATTAAGCTATATCCTAACCTTTTGGAAACACACTGTGTAAATAATTACTCCTGACCACTGTCTCTGACTTTGTTGTTGCGCGTATTTGTATGAAACATACATTTATGATATAATATAAATTACTTTAATTATTTATAAATGGTTTACTGCATTTTAATAGATGCATGTACATCTTTATTTACATCATGATTTTTTATTTGTCTGTAACAATAATATAGTATATTACATTACGAGTGTGGAAAGTGACATTTTTCACACGAGTGAAAAATATTGTCGCACGAGGCACACGTCGAGTGCGGCTATCACACGAATGTGGAAAATCACTTTTCACACAATATTTTTTCTACGACCACAAAATGATATCATTAAAAGATGTAAAACCAGGTTATTATTATTAATATAATAATTAAAATGTATTTAAAAAAATAATCAACAACAATCGTATTTATTCAGTTTTCATATTTTTTAAACAAAAAAAAATAAAAAACAAAAAAAAATAAAAAAAACAAACAAAAATCTGCCCTCGCAAGGATTTGAACGCGGTCGCTCGCCAGGTCTCAAATGGCAAAGTTGATAAAACATAACTTAGTTATTTTAAAATTATTTTAATAATAATTGTTAAAGATAAATATCTAGGATCTAATTTACAACAATTTCAATAATTTAACAATCATATCGATTTTAGTATTAATATGGACATTACATAGATCAAAATAGAAATGATACGTTTGACATTTTGTGACAACTGATGCGGAAAGTAGCATATTTGCACACGGGTAGAAAGTAAATTTTTATTCACACTCGTGTGGTATAGCGCGATGTGTCACTTTCCTAAGTGGTCGTAGGAAAATTTATTTTCGTATTATTCATAAGATAATTAAGTTTGTTGAGATATCAATTTTTAAATTTGTAACTGAACGTTAGTAATATTTTTTCATTTTTTTTTTTAGGTAAGAACTTCTTTACAAATTATTAAAAAGAAAGAGCAATTGGTAAGTAAATATGTTTATCTATTCTTTAATTTAAAAAAAAATCTATTAGAATGTAGAAGATTTTTTAAGGGGAATACATAATAATTAGATCCAATTTTTTCTGAAGTCACATTTGAAATAATTTCATTATGTCATTTGTAATCGAATGGTAAAGTCTCGGAAATACTCAATAAATCGCTAAAATTTACTAAAAAAGCTAATGGGTCTTGTAAATCACTAATTTTTATGCAACTGTATCTCATTAGCCGAACAAGCTTCCATTATACCTATAATTAAAGACTTTGAGAAATAAACACCTTATTGTAATATATGAAGAAAAACCTTCATCAATAGACTTTTATCGTCTGATGCTTATTAAAATATTTGATCCAAGGTCTTGTATATTACTAATTTTCATGAAATACATCTCATTAGCCTGACAAGCACCCGTTTTTATCCGTTATTCTTAAAGGAGTACGTTAATTATTTAAAAAATAAAACACAATTTACAGATTTAATTTTTTTGTTGTTAAACGTAATGTCAAATGTGACTATTCATTGTCTATTTTTTTTTCGATTTTTCGATTTGGATTTGTCCATTTTCGATTTTTTAATTTTTCGATTATTCGATATTTAATTTTTTTATTTTACAATTTGAATTTTTAGATTATTCAAATTTTGATTTTTCGATTTTGTAATTTTTCGATTTTTCGATTTTTGGATTTTTCGATTTTCGTTAGTGGATCGTAAAAAAATATACTGTACAACTCGAGTGGATTGTTGCACAAACTACTAATTTTCTACGCCCTTATGAATATTAGCTTATTTACGCACAGGCTTCAAAACGAAAAAGTATGATATTTACGTTCAACTGAACGAATATATTTTATATCCATTCCATGTAGTGAAAACACTGCAAAAAAATATAATCCACCACAGAGTTCACATTTTGGACACCCAACTACCTACTATTTTTTTCTACACCCACATGGATATTAGCTTATCTACGCACAGACTACAAAACGAAAAAATATGTCATTGCGTTCAACTAAACGAATATGAGAACACTGCAAAAAATAAAATCCACCAATCACAGTTCATATGTTGGACACCCAAGTATTATTTTTATAATTTTAAATAAGGTGCATGATTGCAACTATAAAGTCGCAACCCCCCTTAGAAATCTAACCTTTACAATCAGCAGCTGTTGTTTGACAGGTCGTTGGAGAATGTTTGCAATGTATGGAATGTTAGGAATCTTAGGAATGTTAGATGTTAGGAAAGCTTGAAATTCGTAAGATTAGTCACATAAGAAATGCATGAAGGATTTTAAGAAAATTTCAAGAAAATTAATATTAAAGTAGTTAGGATGAACCGAAAATTTCTGAAAATCAATAGGGTTCCAAGTTAGAAGCAATTATTCAAGAAAATCAAAACTGCAAGTCAATCAGAACTTTCGTTCTCGAGTTATGTTATTGTGCCAGCATATATACACACAGGCGATCAGACGAAACATTTTTTTTGCATTTTCGGACTCAAAATGTTCGGAAACGTGAAAAAAACTTTAAAAAAATGGGAGTAAGAAAATTTTTTCGTCTACACGAATTCAATACTGAGGCCCCATAGGAAGGGCCTCAGTAATATGCTGAAACATTATATCTGATCGTTACATATTATAAAACCAAAGTTCTTTTTCATTTAACTCACTCATGGCTACCACAACAGGCATAAAAAATATTTTTAAAAATTTTTTTTTTTTTTTTATTTCAAAAATGAGTCGCATCCACCAAAAGGTGACTAGCGACGGTACAATTATAAATAAACAAGTTACATTATGTTACATAAAAAAAAAACAGAACAATACTACATTTTATGGAACAATTGTATGAATTTTAAGTACGCAACAATATACGCTTCTGTCATTTGGGATCTTATAGGTAATACGATGGATATTAAATTAAGGACAATCCAGTAAAAGGTGGTTAACAGTTTGTATAACACCACATTCTTCACATCGAGGAGGATCAGTCTTATTCAGAAGATATGAATGAGTGAGTGCAGTGTGACCCAGTCGTAAGCGGGTAAGAATCGTCTGCACTTTCTGATTATTAGTAACAGGTTTCCAAGGCAATACATTTTCTTTAATAGACCGTAATTTAGATTGGGAATGTTCCCATTCTCGAGACCACCTACACAAAATTTTACTTTTAAAATAG